TATTTGACAGCCAATAACACAAATGATTATTTTAGAAAAGCAGGCGCTGCAGAGGGGATAGCAATTACACCTTCATTAGTATAAACTCAGACTTCGTATACATTAGCTATCTCTATTTGAGATGAGAGGTTCTCAGTGGCTTCTACGGAATACTTCTTTTTAACAGGACCTCGAATTTACATAGCATCTAAATAATTAAAAACAGCAAATCACATACAAACAGAGAATCTAGGGCACTTTATTTTTTAAAATAGCAATATTAAGATAAGTGTATTTTTAAATGCAGTGTAAAGAGTCCATATGGAGCTCATCTGTGTCCTATCAAATGCTGCAAGGCTCCCAGGGAGAAGCCCTTGTCTTGCTGTGTCACCATCTGTTGAGAGAAATGCATTTACACATATCCCACAGGCCACTGGGGTTTTTTGTTTGTTTGTTTTCCTTAAAGAATGGGCTTCCTAAATATGGACAACATGCCATGTTTTAGACTCAAGTTCTTCTTCGGCCATTTTTTTTCTAAATTACTAAAAGGCTCTAATAACAAATGCAGTTCATCCAGGTGGGAACTTGTGAATGGGGATCCCAACTGCCCCCCCCCCTGCCAGCCTGGTCGCCCCCAAGGTCACCCCCAACTGCCTCCCCTGCTGGCCTGGTCACCTCTCACAGCCGCCCCCCCCCCCCCAGCCTGGTCACCCCACGCAGCCTGCTGTTCAGTCATTTGGTTGTCCCTCACTAACACCCCTGCTGGCCTGGTCGCCCCATGTAGCCTGCTTGTTTGGTTGGCCCTCACTAACTCCCTTGCCATCCTGGTCGCCCCACTCAGCCTGCTTGTTTGGTCACCCTCACTAACCACCCTGCCAGCCTGGTCACCCCACGCAGCCTGCTTGTTCAGTCATTCAGTCGTCCCTCACTAACCCCCTGCTGGCCTAGTTGTAGGCAGCCATCTCGTGAGGGTGTGTGGGTTAATTTGCATATTGCCTCTATATTATAGAGGATAATTTTGTCTTTTCCAGAATTTCATATCGTTGGAATCATACACTATGTAGCCTTTCAGATGGTCCTCATTTACTTAATAATGTGTATTTAAGTTTCCTCTATGTTTTTCATGGCTTGATAGCTCATTTTTTTTTAGCACTGAAAAATATTCCATTGTCTGGATGTAATACACTTTATTTATACATTTACCTACTGAAGGACATCTTGGTTGCTTTCAGTCCTTCTATTTATTTCCTACATAGTGCTCATCATAAGCTAACATACTCTTTACTTGATTTGTTTATTTTTGTCTGTAGCTTCTACACCACCCCACAACTCTTCATATAACCTTGATGAGGACAGGGGTTTCCATTTTGTTCTTTGCTATAACCCAGCATGCAGAACAGTGCTAAGATATAGTAGATGCTCAAGAAATATATGTTCAATGAAAGAAAATACAGAGATATTTTCCAAAAGGTACAAAAGTTACTAAATGTACCTCCAGTCATATGCCACCACATAATGTATAAAGTACGTTTTAGCTGTACAAAGGTCACAGCTAATGTCCATCAATAATGAATATAATGTGCTTAGCTCAGATCCTGAAACACAGTCAGGTTTCTTCAGCTATTTTCTTTCTACAAAAATGTGAGCTCTTGGGCACAGAAACTTATTCTGGGCACTGAGAACAATGCCTGGCACATAATAGGTGCTCCAACAATATTAATTGGATGGATAATATGATGTTTGTCTCATTTTATTGGTTTTATTATTTGATCATTTGTTTTAATTGTCAGGTACTTTTAGTGAATACAAAAGATGTTAAATATTATTTTTGAAGTAATGACTTAAACATGAACATAATTTATCATGTTGTTTGGTCCAAGCTCAAATTTAATTTACTGCCATAATCTGAAAAAAAAATTATTATTTTATCTCTTTCATGGCATTACTAGTATGTCAGTTAAACCAATGTGAAGAGGGAACCAAGATGGCAGTGTAAGTACACTCGATACTCTCATCCTCCCACAACCACATCAAAACTACAACTAAAATGCAGAACAGCCATCATTTAGAACCACCTGTAATCTGGCTGAACAGAAATTCAACAACTAGAGAAGTAAAGAAGAAAGCACAATGAGACTGGTAGGAGAGGCAGAGGCCCAGAACAAGCTGGTCCAACACCCACATGTGGTGTTTTTTTTTAAAAAAAAAAATTGGCAGAGATAATCTTGGCATCAGAGGTACCCTGTGAGGAGCAAGGGGTCCCAACCCCACACCAGACCCCTCAACCCAGGCTTCAAGTGCTAGGAAGAGAAATTCCCATAACTTCTGGCTGTAGCAACTAGCAGGGATTGTGGGTGAGTGACACAGAGGCTGCAGGAGTCCCCAGCAGTTCCTCTTAAAGGGCTAGTGCACTGATTTACCTGGACTCACTCCCTCTGAGTTCTAGCACTGGGGCAGCAGCTTGAAAGGATTCAGGGACATATGAGAGGAATTACATTGTCTGGCATCAGGGAAAGAACTCAGGGCAGCTTTCTCCCAGACAAAAGTGCTGAGACTTCCCTCAACAGAGCTGACTGACAGGTGCCATATCTGAGTCTCCATCAACCTGGCCCACACTGTTCACCCCACCCTAATTCCCTGATATTGCACCCCACCTAATTTGTAGTCGCACCCAAATTGTTTTCAGTGTCCTTTCCCAGATGAATGGCCTGTTCTGGCTCAGGTTTTAGACTTTCCTAAAATCTCTTAAACAAGCAGCAGCTGGACTCAGTGTGCCCATAACTCTCAATAAGTGGCCCTAAGCCTGGTACTAGTAGCAGCTTGACAAGGTTCACAACTTGGCCTCTTCTGGGCACCTATAAGCCCAACACAAGTATCAGCCATCTGCAGATTACTCTGTAGCTCCTGACAGGCTGCCCCAGGCAGAACTGAGGCAGTGGCTAACTTTGTACCTCCTGGGAGGCCCTAGAGCCAGTGCACCCAGTGGACAGTTTCATACCATGACAGTTTACAAGGCTACCATATACACGAGTAACACACTCAAGGGGAAAAGTGAATACCAAAGCCCCTCTGAGGCAAGTCCTGCTCCATAGGGGTGTCTCCTGCACAGCACCTCTTTTGCTGTAGTCACAGTTGGTCCTCACAGCCAATTGACCTGGAGGTTGATTCCTCCCAGTGACACCAACAGTAATCAAAGCTCAACCACAAGAGGAGAGTACACACAGCCTAAACAGGGGTGTACCTAGAGTGCCCATCTCAAATGAGTGGGGAGGCTGAGCCACTGGAACCTACAAGACATCTACTTCACAAGGCCACTCTAGCAATTCCAGGAGACATAGAAGCTCTACCTAATACATAGAAACAATCACAGGTAAGTAGCCAAAGTGCAGAGACAAAGAAACATGTCACAAATGAAAGAACAGAAGAAATCTCCAGAAAAAGAACTAAATGAAACAGAAGCAAGCAAACTACTAGATATAGAATTCAAAACAATGGTTATAAGGATGCTCAAGGAACTTAATGGGAGCATCAAAAACTTAGTAAGAATTCCAAGGAAATTAGTAAGAAAATCAAAGACATGAAAAAGGACCAGTTAGAAATGAAGGATACACTAACTAAAACAAAGAATAATTTACAGGGATTCAACAATAGAGTAGAGGATGCTGAGAATCAAATTAGTGGTTTGGAATATGAGAAAGCAAGAAAACACCCATCCAGAAGAGTAAAAAGAAAAAAGAATCCAAAAATACGAAGAGAGTGTAAGGAACCTCTGGGACAACCTCAAGGATACCAACATTCACATCATGGGGGTGCCAGAAGGAAAAGAGAAGGACCAAGAAATTGAAAAATCTATTTGAAAAAATAATGACAGAAAACTTTCCCTAGCTGGTGAAAGAAATAGACTTACAAGGCCAGGTAGCACAGTCCCAAACAAGAGGAACCCAAAGAGGCCCACACCAACACCTAGCATAATTAAAATGCCAAAGGTTAAAGACAAAGAAAGAATCTTAAAAGCAGCAAGGGAAAAGCAGTTAGTTACCTACAAGTGAGCACCAATACGACTGCCAGCTGATTTCTCAACAGAAACTTTGCAGGCCAGAAGGGAGTAACAAGAAATATTCAAAGTGATGAATAGCAAGGACCTACATCCAAGATTACTCTACCCAGCAAAGCTATCATTTAGAATTGAAGGTCCGATAAAGAGCTTCACAGATTAAAAACAAAGTAAAGGAGTTCATCACCACCAAACCAGTATTACATGAAATGTTGAAGGGTCTTCTTTAAGAAGAAGAAGGGGAAAAAAGACCAAACATATGAACAATAAAATGACAATAAATACATATCTATCAATAATTGAATCTAAAAATAAAAACAAACAAACAATCTAATGAACAAAATAAACTGATGAATAAAATAGAACCAGATGCATGGAAACATGGAACAAACTGACAAATCTCAGAGGGAAAGGGCAGGGGGGACAAGGAAGAGATTAACCAAAGATCTTATATGCATATATGCATTACCCATGGACACAGCAAATAGGGTGGTGAAGGCCTGGGGTGGGGCAGGATCTGGGTGGAGGAGGGCAATGTGGCGGGGGGGGGGGGGAGTGGAGGAGTGGGGGACATCTGTAATATTCTCAACAATAAATATATTTTTAAAAAAGCAATATGAAGAAAAAAATATTTTTTAAAAAGAGAGAAAAATATTTATGTGCAAATGTTTTATGAATGTATCACTTGCTAAATGGTGAAAAGAGACACATTAGCAAATTCTTCAATGGCTGTGGAATTTGAATCATCAATGACTATTGGGAATCTCAGTAAAGACATAAACTAGGATTACAAAGAATTCTTTAGGGAATATATCCTCTTGCCCTGATCCCCCCAAAAAAGTTAAAACAAGAGAGTCTCAATCTTGTTTAGGAGACATGGAAGGATGTATTTCATTAAGGGGAAAAATATAACATTTTTATGGATAAGTATAATACATGGTAAATGAGGTGATTCTTATTAACTTACCCATCATTGTTAATATCTGATACTGCAACTGTATATCCAAAATAAGATGCCATCTGCAAAGGACAAAACATAAGATGACATATTTTGTCATTTTCAAAGTCATGTCTCAATTTTCCCTGAAGTATTAATCTCATTGCAGCACATTTTTGCATTTAAATTCATACTCTTGGATATGGACAGAGTCTTGAAGTCATTTAACCTAACCCCTGACCCAATGCATAATTTCCCCCTCTAGTCCCCTGACATCCACTTGCACACCCTTGGAAGATGTTCAACAATCAGCCCATTCAATTTGTGGACTCAGTTACTAGAATGTTCTTTACTAAAATTGGCCATTCTGTAACTTCTAGTCCATAAACCTACCTAGTTCTACAGATTTGAACCTCACAGAATAAATATAATTCCACTTCCATATGAAATCCCATATGGAAATATTTTTAGCCGGAATACCATCCTGGCCCCTTCTTCTTAGATATACTACATGTGACACCAAAGAGACGTTGATAACCCAAGAGCACACTGACACTCCTCTTAAGTAGGATTTACAATCTCTTCTTTGGCCCCTTTATATCATTGAAGAATAAAAAGGGATTTAATTTGGGGAAAACTGCATTTCAGCATCAATTCATATTGAGTTTATTATCAAGTAAGGTTCCTACGTTTTTTATGAATGTAACCAGGGTATCACAATCTCCACATGTTCTAGCTCTTAAGTTTTTGTTTTTCAACCTATGCTTTCAAGATTTATAACCTTTTCAGATTTGGCCCATTGTTTCAGCTTTCCAGGATTTTTTTTTTTTTTTTTGCTTCCATATTCTGCCATCCAGTGCTTAAGCCGAATTAGCCTCCCCACTAAAAGTGTGTTCCACAGAAGGCGAAGATGTTGGTCTGCATTGTTCACTCTTCTGTCCTCACTGCCTGACCAGGATTTACCTCACTCAAAGTAGGTGCCAGGTGGAAGACACTCTTCACAAAGAGAATGCACTCAGGAGTGAACAAGTGTCACAGCAATTCAATCCTCCGACCTCTTTTCTCTATTCCAAACATTTACAGTCCCATTCTTATTCCTGGTATGGCACTGTGTGGCCTTTGAAATTTCATCACTTATGTATTAGGTTCTCAGGTTCAAGATTGCAGAAGTAGGTGGTATTAAGGATGAGAAGTTATAGAAAGGCCAAATTTAACAACATTTAAGGAGCTTTTAATGTAAAACAAGTATAAAATGTAAAACAAACCTGGGCAAAGGAGAAGACTTGCCTGATTTTCACTAAACTATTATTACTACTTGGGAATAGTTGTTCAAAATACATAAATCCAGCCAATTTCACTATCATCTCAGTCTTATTTCTCCATATTTACCACAGGAGTATCACGAGAGCCATTGTTAAATGCTTTGTTGAAAATTGCAGAGTAATGGATAGACTATAGCCACAATTTATGGGGGAAGATGACAAAAATGCTCTGTGTTCATTGAAAAATTCAGGATCACTGACTCTGGCCAATACAGTGGGACATATGAGAAGCCTCGGTCTCCTCAGATGGAATATGGGAACCCAGAACTCACCACCAGGCACACTATATCCAGGGCGACAATATAATAGGATTGCTCTCAAATCCCAGCAGTTAGTGGCATTTTGGATTTTAAGGGTCATAATCTGTTTTTATATAATTTATCACTGTCTGAAATGATAATGGGCATTTATTTATTTGTTAATTAATTGTCATCCTCCTCAACTGCCACCCTGATACTGCTGCCTGAGAGCTGGATTCTTGTCTGTCAGATGCATGGTTATATTCACAGTGCCTAGAACAGCTTCCAGAACAGAGTAGGTGCTCAGAAAATATTTTATAAAAGAATAAATTATATAAATATTACTATATGCTATTAGGACCAAGTGACATTATGTGATATTAAAATGTCTTTACCTGTTCACCAGTGAAATTCTGAATAAAAGTCATATCTGTAGAGTTAATGATTGAAACCTGAAAGCATAAAATTAGATAGGTTACATCATTTGATATAGAATTAGAGAAAAATTTAATTATAACTTAAATCATTTTTGGAAAAGAGTGATAAATGGTTAGCTATATGTAAAATTAAAATGTAAGCTCATAAGAAGAGTCATCTTTTAAAAATCTTATTGAACTTTTTGTTTATGGTGAAGTCGGGATCCTTTCAGACAAAATACATGCTTATTACTCTGAAGTGGAGAAACAAAATTTGAATTCAAGAATGCTGAGAAAAATAAATTTCATGGTCAGTTAACTGATCTAACCAGGATTTTTGTACAGATCCATTTTTTTTGTATAGCTTCATTTTGTACAGATTCATGTTATTATGAGAAAAGATATTATTCATGAAGCAAAATTATTCCTTTTAATTCTATTCAGCTAAACCCAAATCTGGAAATATTAAAAGTATACTAGACTTCTAAAAATTAAACACTACTTAAAATATTTTTATTTTAAAAGTTTTTTTTATAAGGTCTATTTATTGCCTTTTCCTAATTTGGGAGCAACTAGTTATAATGGATTTGAATAGTATCTCTCCAAAATCCATGCTGTTATTGGGAAGTAGGGTCTTTGTAGATTAAATAAGTTAAGGATCTTGAGATAAAATTATCCTGGATTTAGGGTAGGCCCTGTAGCTAATGCCTGCAGTCCTTATAGGAAAAGGACTGGAGTCCTTATAGGAAAAGGACGCACAGATACAGATGGAAGAAAGCTGTGAGGTAACAATTGATTTTACTATTTCCACCATAGGAGACATACTAAAATGTTGGTCATATCAACAGTGGGGTCCTCTGATATTATCCCTAGATTATGCACAAGGATCTGGCTGCCTTCATAGGTGAGTGACCTGTGCAGTCACACCGGGCCCACCCTTGCGTTAATGCCCACTGTCACTGTCCTGAAAGTCTTAACACTTTTGAACAGGGACCCTGCATTTTCTTGCACTGGGTCCCACCATTTATGTGGCTGGTCCTGCACACAGATCAGAAAAAAGAACTAGCCTCCCTTTTAATAAGCAAACCAGTACAACTTAGTAGGGGCTTGCTGTATAAAGGGCATTTTAAAGGAGTTAAAAGTTGTATGAAACAAAACATTTCTGTGCATGCATAAGAAAATATCCTGTAATGAAACCTTAGTACTCACATATCCAAAATTCTGTGCTCCTCTTGGAACTCCAGCAACCAATTCTGGTGATAAAAACGGTCATTTAGAAGGTAAGTTACCTATACCTACTTTACAGCTACACAACAAATCAGTTAAAGATAGTTTTTAAATGAGTACATCATATAGAGAGCTGGAAGTTTGAAGTCATGGTTGCATGCATTGGATTTTGTTTCTGCTGCAGACAATAGAAAACAGAAGTCCAAAGCTATACTTTGAGATTTAGGCGTCTCTGACACCTGTCTCCATGTTTCTGCCTCCAGACCATAAGCCTGGCTTCTCTCAGGTCTGCGTGTGATTTCTGGGTTAAACCTCTTACCCTGATTTCTCTAGCTTTCACAGCAGTGACAACTTTATAACAGTTTAAAAAGTTAACAGTTCCTGTCACACTAAAATGTTAAAATAATTTTGATTTTTGAACATGATATGAGTCTGTCCCCTGGAGATGTTTGTTGGCAGAAGAATTAGAGGGCAACCTGGCAGCCAAGAAAGATTCAATGATAGAGATACAGGAAACAACTCTGGCCAGAAGCGGGCAGGCATGCCAAGGCACACAGATCTGGCTGTCGATTCAGAAAGAAATGGTTTTGGTTCTTTGCACTCTCATATACCTGGGATGAGTCATTGAAACTTTTTTTCCCAGTCCCTTGCAATAGGGGGAAGTTGGAATCTCTGATTATCAAAGATCTTTCCAGCTCTCATTTCTATAAATCCAACTATTATTTGATTAATCGGGGTTAAAATTTTAGTTTAATTTAAAGAAGAAGGCCCTGGAAGACAGTTCCTTTCCATTCAAATTTCCCTTCCCCCATTCCTGCTCCTAAAGGTAGAGCTCAAATTCCAGCATTAATGTGCTGAACATTAGCAAAGTTGGGGGGTCATGCTGTTAGCATTAATAGAGGAGATTCATTTGGGGCTAGAGGTTGGACTTTTCGGTAGTATATTAACTCATTTAATCAATAAATATTTATAGGCACACAGAGAATACACAGTGAACAAAACACAAAACCCCCTGCTCCCATGGAGCTAATAACCTAGTTGGAAGAGGCCATCAATTTAAAAAATAGAGCTGATTAAATGGCATGTTAGAAGCAGATGAGTATAGCAGAGAAAACCAAACAGTGCAATGGTACAGGAAGTGCAGTGTGGGGATGAGGAAGGACTTGTGATGTATTAGGTTAGTCAGGGAATGACTTAAAGAAAAGGTGACTCTTGAGCAAAGGCTAAAGAAAGTGGGGAAATAAAGATGGGAATCTGCCAGAACTATGTTCTAGTCAGGGGGAAGAAGTGCAAAGGTCCTGAGGTACAAATGTGTCTGGAATATTCAGAGGAAAGCAAGGAGGCCATGGTGGCTGGAGTAGAAGGAGAGAAGGGTAAAGGGGTAGGAGATGAAATCAAAGCAATTAGTGATTTCATGATTAGAGCTTTTTAGGTCATTGTGAAGATTTGGATTTTATCCCGAATTAGTCAGAACATCATTGTAAGCAAAGAAGTTTCACAATCTGATTTCTGTTTCTCCAGAGCCATTTTGGCTTTTGGGTTCAGGCCCTCCAGGAGGGCAAAGGTGAATGCAGGGGGGCCAGCTAGGAAGCTATTGCTGATACTCTAGTTGGAAGATGCCATCAATTTTAAAAATAGAGGGGTTTTTTTTTTCATTATGTCAGTGGATCAGAGTAGATGCTGAGAAGGAGGTGAGAAGTGGTCAGATTCTGTCTTAATTTGAGAGTTTAGTTAGCAGGATTTGGTCAAGGATAAGGGGTGTGAGAGAAAGAACACAGTTCAAGGCTGACTTCAAAGTATTTGGTTTGAGCAACTGGGAGGTTGGCATTGCCACTTACTGAATGGAGATGATGGAGGGGAGAGCATGTCAGTGGGGAAGGTCAGGAGTTCCGTTTTGAGCACCTTAAGTCTAGGATAGCTATTTAGAGAGATGCTGAGTGTTGGACACATGAACTTGGAATTCAGTGTAAGCTGAAGAACTGACGACACTGGATGAGATTACTAGAGAGAATTCAATGAATAAAGAAGAGTTGCAGTATTTAAACCTAGGTCATGTCGATGAGGAGGGGAAATTAAAGAGCAATCAGGGAGAGATGGAGAAGCTGCCACTGTCTGAGAAGCCAAGGAAAGAAATGAGGAGGGAGAGATTAACTCTGTCAAATGCTCCTGACAGTCACCAACAGCATGGCTTTCATCTAAGTCATTTAATCATCTATATTTTTAATCATAGGCATGGGACTACTGGACTAATATTTTATTGCTTAACTAGATTGCATAAGGATTGACATTCATTTGTATGCAATTCTTCAAGACTTAAAAATCTATGCCAAAGTGTATTTTTGTTTGTTTGTTTTTCTACAAAATTTCACATACATTCTGGGATTCCATTTATATACATGTTGTGTAAGAAAGAAAATTACATTTGTAAAAGGTATTTTCGGGTCATTTTTACCTTTCTCCCATGTTTCATAAATAACTTATAGGCCACAATGTCTCTCACCTTGCTGAGCATCTCCTGTAAATTCCCCAGCAGCAACTGAATATCCTGTTTTAAAGAAAACAAAAATAAAGACAAATAATTATATGTTCGAAGCTTTATAAATAAATGAGCTATATCTCTAGAAAAATTAAAGATCTACCATAGTACTGCTTTGTACAGAAATCTCAACAAATATTGTAGCATAAAAGATTAAGGTTGTATAAAGAGAAAAATTAATCACACCAATATGAACACTTTTGTTCTAAATCCTGGAAGCATAATATTTCTGACTGTGGCAACAGAGTCTGAGATCACTTTTTAAAGCAGGATTGCTTCATAACCCACCTTGAAGTATAAATGGCGACCAGTGCATTTTAGTCACTGATTCATCATGATCAGACATGCCACTCAGAAAGGTATCGCTTGTGCTCAGGTTTTGCTACTTCTAATCACCACCAAGGCCTATTTCCTAATTTATTTAATGATGGTTTTCCACAAATTTCACTTAGCTCTAAAGTGAGGTGAGATCACAAAACATAACTATTTTTTAAATGCATTGATCAAAATGCCTATTAGAATACCACAGGTGGGAAACAATAGTGGTGAAATGGCATTGTGTGGTTTGCACATAATGAATTTTCAAACATTCTAGCAACTGGAAAGTCTCTTGCTGTTGTAGAAACTGGAAAGGCAACTATCATGTTGCCTGCATTGTAGTCCTGGGCAGCCCCACCAATACACAGTATCTATCACTGGAAAAATATTTTATGTGTCAGAGGCTATTACGAAGCCTATAAAATAGCTGTCAAATCATGTAGGTTATACATCATGACTGAATCAAAAGAAAGGAAAGCTAAGAGTCCATCTAAGCTAATAAGAAAAGAAAACATTTATAAGATGCCAAAATAATATCAGGTAACTGAGGAATAAACTATGTCCACACATTTAATATGTTTGTCCTTTGAGGAAACAAAAGTGTCTTGAGTTATCTCACCGAGGTAACTATCATCGTTGGAAGTTGGAGCCACTTGCGTCTGTTTTTCTCGAGCCAGCTTCCTTAGAATATCCTTGAATGAGTAATTGTCAATGATGTCTGCAATACTGGCTGTGATCACCTGACCTGCGTTCAAACAAATTATTACATTAACTACATGTCTGAACCTCTGAACAACACACACTCCTTTAAAAGTGATTATGGAATTGCTTGCATTTTCAACGATGGATTTTCTTCCTGCCACCAGAACTGCAAGTTGAAGTTGGTTACAGCTGGGAGAGCTTTCCATTCTGATGGAAGAACCAAGAATGAACTATATAATTTATCTGTCTCCCTTCACCATGCACAGCCCCCTACCTTCAAATGACAAGCATATCTAAGAGTGAAGACATCTGTAGGCAAAATTTATGTGATTAAATTTTTATTCCAGGACCTCTAGCTAGAACAAACATCATCCAGCTTTGATACCATCTAGCCAAGTTATAACTTCTTACTCGTGGGGAAACTGAGACCTAAAGAGCTTAAGTGCGTTCTCTAAGGTCACGTGGTGGTTTTGCTCCTAGGTATTTGGCATTACAACGAAGGTCTCCTTTGGCATTCTTTCTAATTAGACTTTTTGTGTTCTCACATAATACAGATGGTTTAAATCTAAAACATTTGATTAAAAATTGTGAAACATAGCTTTGTTAAAGGGAAAAATTACAAAATCTTTGAGCCATTTACTTTTTACGCTAAAATGTACACATGGAGTATAATATTATGAAAGTGGGAAACAGCTAGGTATAGTGAGATCCAGAATTTTAGCAAAAAAAAAAAAAAAAGGAATCCATGGCCACCAACATTGATATGACCAAAACTTTGGTTAAACTCTCCCATATAAAGCCACTATCAGAAGTCTTGAAATAGGCTTGTATTGGGACGAACAGAAGACAAAAAGATGGCCAGCAATTTCCCACTACAATGTTCATGCCTTCCAACATCTATTACGGACATCTAAGGAAAAAGTGCGATCTCATGCTCTTTGGGAGGAAAATAGAGGGATCCTTTCAAGAAACTAACATTTAACATTAATTTTAAAGCCAAGTTATTCTTTGGGAACTCACACATAATTCCCACAGTCTTGCTTAAAGTCCAAAAGGAATAAAACTGTCAAACTAGGCCATAAATATATCCAAATGACTGTGCCCGAATGACTGTTCTTATATTAAGACAATGGTATTTACACATGGATTTCTGAACAATGTCTGTCGAATTTGCCAATTTTCTCTAGGTTAAAGCTAAATACCCACTTCTGCCTTTTCTTGTTTCCTCTAGCTGCTTCTATAAACATTACAGTCTTAAGACTGAATAAAATCTTAAATTATCTGTCTCAGAGAAATGCTTCCTTGGTATGGCTAATTTTTGGAAAATCATCTGTATTAGGCATTTTCCAATTTAAGGAAAGAAAAAATTAAATTAATCAAGTGATTACAAGGCAATCTTTTTAAATGCAATTTTTAAATACAATCTTAATTTTCTATCCATCCACTGCATAAATTATATTGTTTTTCATTTGCAAAATAATTTTTAAAGGCTGAAATGTTAATTATTTGATGTTCATAGTTGTATATGTGTGAATTAAGCTTAACAGTAACTTCATATAAACTTTTATCATAAATTCATCTCTCCTGTATCTTTCCCATTGCTTTTTAAACATAATCAGATCTTTTGCAATTAAAAAAAAACACCCTCAGTCAATTATTCATCTTTCTCAGATTTTACTCTATCTTTATATTAAACTTTACAGCCAAAATTCAGTGTATATTCTCTATAATCTCTCATTAGACATCCTGTCCACAGCCATGGCTTCAGTTATCACATCATATAAGTTTGTTGTTTATTCAGCCACATGAGGTTGGCTAAATAGGTTGGTGTGGACCAAATGTCTTCATGGATCTGTGTGTAAGATCATTTCCACACAGTCCCTCCTCTCTTCATCTAGTTACTTCCTACTCAGGGTTCAGATCTCAGTTTAGGATTGCTTCCAAATTAGTTAACCTGTGAATCAGAGCGCCTTAGCCTGGTAGCTCAGTGGGTTAGAGCATTCCGATATGCCAAGGTTGCAGCTTCGATCCCCAGTTGGAACACTTATTAAGACTCAACCAGGCTTGGCTGATGTAGTCGCAAGAGGTCGCTGGTTCAATTCCCGGTCAGTGCATGGTCAGGGCATATGCACGAGTTGCCGGCTTGACACCCCCCTCACCCATAGGGTCTCTCTCTCTCTCTCTCTCTCTCTCTCTCTCTCTCTCTCTCTCTCTCTCTCTCTCTCTCTCCTCAATCAATAAATTTAAAAACCATAAGAATCAGAGTAACTCATCCCCTCTGGCAAATGCTATCCTGCCCCTGAATTCAGGTTTTCCTACTAAGCAGAATACAGGTTGTAGTCCAGCTCCCTATCAGCCAGTGTTCAGAGGATATAACACACCTACATACAGCCACCCTGGAGGAGCTTCCCATACTCTCATGGCACCATCTTGACATACCCTTCCTTCATAGTGAGTATCATGCCTGGGGTTTCTTAATACTTGTATGAATATGCCTTTAATGCAGCGGTTCTCAACCTGTGGGTCGCGACCCCTTTGGCAGTCGAACGACCCTTTCACAGGGGTCGCCTAAGACCATCCCGCATATCAGATATTTACATTACGATTCATAGCAGTAGCAACATTACAGTTATGAAGTAGCAACAAAAATAATTTCATGGTTGGGTCACAACATGAGGAACTGTATTTAAAGGGCCAGAAGGTTGAGAACTACTGCGTTAATGCCTGTGTCTTTCCCCAGGTCGTAGCCTCTGTGAAGGCAGGAGCAATGTCTGATTTTACTCATTATTTTGTCCCAAAGCCTGGCATAGCCTCAGTAAATAGTTGGTGAGTAAATGAATTAAGCAGCAACAGTATAACGAAGTACAAACTGAAATATTTCACTGAGTTGAGAAACTATAAACCTAGATATGAAATTAGCATAATAAAGAGTCAATGTTTGATGTTCCTGGGCTTCATCCGCTTGTTAGTAACAACAAATAGGCACGTATTCTCTGCTGACAGGACATACCTTGCCAATAAAAACTCCCAGGTCCTCCTACTATAAGGTCTCCATTCTACAAAACAGAAATGGCAATAATTGGAAAAGAAAAATAGGTTTTTTTAAGGGTGATAAATCACTGTTAATAATCTTTGTTCTAATAATTTCTTGGACATAAAAAAAAACAATTTTTAAAAGAGGCCTTTATATCTGAGTCATGCAGGCCATTTTATTTTCCTTTTTTGCTTTCAATTATTTAGTGTGCTATATTATATACTTTTAATTTGACTTAACTAAGTGAGTTGAATTCTCTCCCTTGAGAATATATAATTTCAGTTATTTGGCACTGCCTCAGGTAAGCAAATTATCTACATATTTATGAACAATTAGCAGACATGGCCTTTTGAGCCTTGGCAATAAAATGAAAATTCAGTTTCTATTTATCTCAAGGACACAGTAATGCCTATTTTTTCCATACACTTGCAAGCCCACCTTTCCCAAGAGAGAGAACAAAAACTAGCAAATACAAATTTTCTTTCTTATTTACAATCCCACCTTCTATCCTCTGCATCCTTAACTTTCAGTGTGGAAAGAAAAAAAGACAACAATGTTGATAAAATTTATACTATTTTTAAAACCATGGAATATTTGCCTCCTATATTCTCACTAGACAACTCTGTTTTTAATTTTGTGAAAGGATATGTGAATTTTAACACGTTAAGCCAGTCAATTACAGGGAAGAAATAAAACAATTTATAGATTCTTGTTAACTTTTCAGAAGCACATTTCTCTATTGAGTTTTTGAGATTTCTTTTTCATTAAAAAAAAAATGACAACCTCAAGGGGTAGGAAGAAAAAACTGTTGTTTTTCATCATATGTATTTTTGTATAATTTTAATAGGTTGTCATGTACATAGATTACTTTAATAGAAATAAAAAGTAAACAATAAAGATTAAAGTTGTCAAAAGAAGCTAGATACAGACCTATAGTTTATTTTGGTGGTGATGGTTACTGAGGGGTTGTGGGTGGGAGTGGGAGTGGGAGGGAGAGGTAAAACAAAAATCAAGCAGATAAGATAATATTAGAAGCTACAAGACCAAAGGAATTCACCTTATAAAAATCCAGACTAAATCCTGCTTGGCAGTAACCCTGGCCTTCAGGATCAGCATTACCTAGAATAATCAAAATACATGTTAATAATCAATTCAGGATATTCTGTCGTTTTCTCTATAGACTTCTAAATGCAAAATTGTCCATATGTGGTTTATATTTATTTCTAAATTCATTCCAAGTAATTTATTAAACATATTTCGGTCTATTTTCCTGTCCTAAATAACATGATTCTAATCTAGACGAATATCCACGGGAATAATGTCCCTTGGAATTATTATATTGGGTTTTAGAACTCATGTTTGTTTGAGGAAATAAAATCTCCATCTCTAACTATTTTCCAAGTGGCAGCAATGTGTTTCTGTGTTGCCCACATGTTCCTAGTGAAGCCGGACATGTCATTCTTAAAGGCAATGACCTATTGAGAAAGGGGAGCTGAATGTGGTCACCTGGCTGGATGCTTTCTGTTCTGGGGTCACCAATAGGATTTCAATTTTGATCCTCTCTAACAGGAATTTAACTTTAATATATTCTATTGTCATTAGTAAAGTCAATTTGGAAATTGTATTTCTGGTTACAATGAATCTCACATGAACACTGCAATGCTAGTGTTCACAAAGAGAAAACTCTCTAATAATGGCTTATTTTGTACTCTATCCAATATAATTCACTAACTGAATGTCCAATAGGATCTGATAGAGTGGCCAACATGTGGATTCCCTAGATATTGTTATAAAAAGTCTCTAGGACATTTGGATCAGGAATTTACTACTTGTCACTTATACTTTAAAGGAGTTCCCTACAACTTCTAAAGTGCTGAAATTAAAACCAAAATGTAGTTCAGTGGGGATGGCCTGAATCATTATATGGTTGGATAGGAATATGTAAATAATATTACTTCTCTCTTATCAAGGATATTCCTGAGTGGAAACTAAAGTAAGCAGGCAGGAAAGGAAATGCACACCCTCACAGGAAAAATGTATAGGCTGGGCATGTGCATCTTCCAGAAGCTTTTAAAAAATGGATCTGGTCTTTCCAGCTCTTCCTAGAATGTTTTCGGTTTTGTTTTGGGTTTCTTTTGTCATTACTTAGTTAATTTTAGCATTGTCATCATCCATTCTTTCCAGATGCTGCTTTTATATTTTAAAATAGTTTTCTACCTCATACACTGTAGTTTTTTATGAGATCTGTTTTTAATTCAAATGTCAATTAATGCTTTGTGTATTTAAGCTAAGGTCTTATTTCAGCTTTATTAAGGTATACTCAATATACAAAAAAAAAAAATTATACTTTTTAATGTATACAGCTTGGTGAGTTTGGACATATGCATACATCCATGATACCACCAGCACAGTCACCTTCTAAATTGTGTCCCTTGCTTTTTGTTGTTATTTTTGTGTGTGTGTTAAAAACAGTTGATATGCGTTTATGCTCTTAAAAAATTTTTACATTTTCTTTTTTAAATATTTTTTTATGTTTCAATTACAGTTGACATGCAATATTTTATTAGTTTCAGATTAGTACATTAGTACATTAGGACATTCAGTTAGTACACCCCAGTGGTTAGACATTACATAACTTGCTATGTGACCATCCCAATAAATCTCATACCTGTCTGACACCATACATAGTTCTTAGAATATTGACTATTTTCCTTATGCTGTACTTTACATGTCCATGAATATTCGGCAACAACAAATTAGTACTTCTTAATCCCTTCATCTTTTCACCCATCCCTCCCAAATCCTTCCAACTATCAAAATATTTTCTGTATCTATGATCTGTTTCTGTACTGCTTGTTCCTTTATTTTGTTTTTCAGATTCAATTGTTGATAGACATGTATTTATTGCCATTTTATTATTCATATTTTTCTTTTTTTTTTTCTTAAAGAAGACCTTCAACATTTCATGTAATACTGTTTTGGTGGTGATAAACTCCTTTAGCTTTTTCTTATTTGGGAAGCTCTTTATATGTCCTTCAATCCTAGATGATAGCTTTTCTAGGTAGAGTAATATTGGATGTAGGTCCTTGCTTTCATCACTTTGAATATTTCTTGATAATCCCTCTGGCCTGGAAAGTTTCTGTTGAGAAATCAGCTGACATTCTTACGTGAGCTTCCTTGTAGGTAACTAACTGCTTTTCTCTTGCTGCTTTTAAGATTCTCTCTTTGTCTTTAACCTTTTGCATATTAATCATGATGTGTGTTAGTATGGGCCTCTTTGGATTCATCTTGTTTGGGACTCTGTACTTCCTGCACTTATATGTCTATTTCTTTCAACAAGTTAGGGGAGCTTTCTGTCATTATTTCTTCAAATAGGCTTTCAATTCCTTGCTCTTTCTCTTTTTCTTCTGGTACCCCCATGAAACAAATGTTTGTACGTCTGAAGTTGTCCCAGAGGCTCTAGATGGTATCCTCATTTTTTTTATTCTTTACTGCTGATTCCCTGTAAATTATTCTTTATTTCAGTGAGTTCATCCTTCATTTCTGACTAGTTCTTTTTTATGATTTCCATGCCCATTTATATGCTGTTTAAATTTTTACTAAATACACCTAATCTTCCTCTAAGTTCACTAAGCATTCTTGTAACCAGTGTTTTGCATTCTTGTAACCAGTGTTTTGAGCTCAGTATCTAGTAGATTGCTTGTCTCCATTTTGTTTAGTTCTTCTTCTGAATTGTTGTTCTATTATTTTATTTGGGCCGTGTTTCTTTGTCTTCTCATGTTGGCAGCCTCCCTGTGTAATTATGTATTAGGTAGAGCTGCTACATCGTTTGGGCTTGTTAGAGTGGCCTAATATAGGAGGTGTCCTATAGGATCCAGTGGCACAGCCTCACCATTCACCCAAGCTGGGCACTCAGGTATGTCCCTCCCTTTCTCTATGTGGGCTATGTATATTCTCCTGCTGTAGTAGAGCCTTGATTGCGGATGGTATGTCAGTGGGAAAGATTTACCGCCAGGCCAGTCCTCTGCAAGGACTGACTGTGATCAACACAGAGGATCAGCTGTGCAGGGACCCAACCCACAGGCAAGACTTACTTCAGCAGGGCTCTGGTCCCACTGAGTCCACCTCTTGAATCTGTTGCTTGTGGAGGTGGGTGGGTGCTGCTTCAACATGTTCTAAAGCTGTCCACTGGGTGTTCTGGCTCTAGGGCCTCCAGGGAGATACAGGCCATGATCACCCAATCCCTCTGGCCACCCAGCATAAACTACAAAGCCACCTGCAGATGGCTGCTACTTGTACTGGCCTTTGAGGTGCCTAAAAGGGCTCAAGCTGTGAACCATGTCTGCCTCTAGTGCCAGGCTTGAGGCCACTTAGTGAGAGGTATGGGGCATGCTAAAGCCTGGTGCTGCTTGTTTGAGAGATTTTAGAAAAGTCTAAGGCAGCAGCGTCAACCTTTCAGACTTCACAGACCACCAGTAGTCCGCGGACCACCAGTTGGTGACCGCTGGTCTAAAGCATGAGCCAAGAAAGGCCATACATATGGAAAAGCCACTGGAAACAGCCTTGGGTGGGCCCACAAGTTCTTGGAAGTGGGGGGGGGGGGGTCTCAGGGAATCACAGGTGGGGGCAGTGATAGCCTAGTTGATGGAGACTAAGATATGGTGCCCAGCTGCTGACTCTATGGAGGAAGTGTTCAGAAAAGGAACAATGGCCTCTGCCAGCACTTCTGTCTAAGAGAAAGCTGCTCCTCCTGATCCTCCCCATATTTCCCTGTTGCCTTTCAAGCTGCTTTCCAAGCACTTGAGCTCAGAGGAAATGAGTCTGTGTACAGGCCCACTAAGAGGACCTGCCTGGGCCTCTAGCAGCCCTCCTTCTCAGCCACAATTCCTGCTGATTTTCACAGCTAGAAGTTATAGAAACTTCTCTTCCTGGCACTGGAACCCTGGCCTTGGAAGACTGGTGAGGGGCTGGGACCACCTCAAATCTTTGCCCTTCCTACTACTCAGCTAGATTTCAGGCAGTTCTGAATGATGGTTGTTCTGTAGTTTAGTTTTAATTTTGATGTTGTTTTGGGAGGATGTGAGTACTGCATTTACTTACTCTGCCATCTTGACCCTACCCTATTAACAATTTCTTAAATATATTGTATCGATTTTTTACAGAGAGGAAGGGAGAGGGATAGAGAGTTAGAAACATCAATGAGAGAGAAACATCGATCGGCTGCTTCCTGTACACCTCTACTAAGGATATGCCCACAACCAAGGTACATGCCCTTGACTGGAACCGAACCTGGGACCAGTCAGTCCGCAGGTTGATGCTCCATCCACTGAACCAAACCCCTTAAGACTTAACAACTTTTTTTAAGATTTTGTATTGATTTTTAGGAAGAGGGGTGAGAAGGGAGAGAGATAAACATCGATGTGAGAGTGAAACATTGATCAGTTATTTCCCACATGCCCTCCAGCAGGAATCAAGCCCACAACTTGGACATGTGCCTCGACTAGGAATCAAACTGGCAATCTTTTGGTATATGGGACAATGCCCAACCAAGTAAGCCACAACAGCCAGAGCTCTTAACAAATTTTTAAGTGCATGTCACCTTACAATGTGTATTAACAAAATTTGTTCTTTTTTTAAATATACTTTTTATTGATTTCAGAGAGAAAGGGAGTGGGAGAGATGAAAACACCAATGATGAGAGAGAATCATTGATCAGCTGCCTCCTGCATGCCCCTCATTGGGGATTAAGCCTGAAACCCGAGCACCTGCCCTGACCAAAAATCAACCCATGATCTCCTGGTTCATAGGTCAATGCTCAACCACTGAGCTATACCAGCCAGGCTGTTCTTTTTGTTTTTTGTTTTTTTTAAATCCTTACCTGAGGAAATATTCGTTGATTTTTATTTTATTTTTATTTTTTTAGTTAAAGGGCAAGGGAGAGAGAAAGAGAGAGAAACATCGGTGTGATATAGAAATACTGATCAGTTGCCTTCCTGTATGTGCAACTGGGGATTGAACCTGCAGCCTAGTTATGTGCCCTGACTAGGAATGGAATCCAAACTTTTCAGTGTATGGGATAACACTCCAACCAACTAAACCACACCAGCCAGGGTGACAAA